GCCTTTTTTTTTTTTTTTTTTTTTTTGCCATAGGGCATGTACACTTGCTAGAGAGAAACAGAAAGAGACAGTGAGAGGGAAAGTGAGAAATCACCCTCCAAGGAGGCTGGTCAAGCCGCAATCCCTTCTATTCTCCTTCTGGGACTCTGGGCACATATACACACACACCCAGAATGACTTTTAAGCCACTCGGTCTGGGACTCGAACTACGGTCGGCCATGTGGGGTCCAGTGCTTTAACCACTATGCCACCTGCTGGCCCCTAGGTCTTCTTTACTTTCTCACTGATTCACCCGGATTGGAGACCCCTGTGCTTCCTTCAGCTCCTTCCCGTTCATGGACATGGGGAAGTGGACTCACATAGTCTATATTCACAGAGAACCTGAAGGCCCACACAGGCACTCACTGGCCCCATTCCTGGTGGGCAAAAGGCAGAGACCATGACCTATTTAGAGACAAGAAAATGAACCCAGAGAGGAGACAGGATCTGAGGACACAGCCAGCAATGGAGCTACTGTGGTGCCACGTCCTCAAGAGATGGCACAGGCTGGAAAACTCAGAGGCCAAGGCTGATGCCCCAAGACACAGCTGGCGAGCAGAGCAACCAGGATCCGGACTGAGTAACACCCACGTGCTGAACCCACGTGTGACTTCGCCAGGAACTGAACTTGATCCCACCTGGACCCACAAGCTTGGAGCCCGAGATCACGCAGAAACTAGTTCTCTGGGAAACTCCCAGAGCTGAAGGGGTTGGCTCGGGGCTTGGGGCACTGCTTGAGACATTCAGTGGGAGGTTCTGGGTTGGGGAATGAGGGCTGCAGTTACGTCACAGTGGCCAGCCCCCAGTAAGTGCAGGGAGGTCTGTGCTTCCTCCACAGATGGCTTAGGCAGGCTGGGCTGAAGGGAAGTCCCCACGGAAAAATACAGATACTTTATTCGTCAAAATCTGAGATCTGGTTTCTGGCCTATGGGTCCGGCTGCAGAGAGGGCTATACCAGGTACAGTGACCTCAGAAGCTCTTTGGCATTTCCCAGCTGCAGAGCTGGGGCCACTGCATGCCATCCTGGGACCCCAAGGTCTGGATGACCCACCTGCCCTCAGCTGGGATCCAGGGCCCCTTTCCTTCTCTGCTCCCCAATCCACCTTTCCTCTAGCCTGTCGGCACTGGTGGGTACAACCTGGGTGCTGGGGATGAGTCTCCGGTGTCTGACATCCACCCAGCCTAACGGGTGGCGGGGACTTGCTGAGGACCCTCAGGCAGTCACATCTGAGAAGCAGGTGGCTTCCCCACAGGCAGCTGCTCAAGGCAGGTGGATGCTCTATAAGAGTTGGAAGCCCACCTCTGGGAGCTGGGAGAAAGATGATGTCACAGATGTGGGATCTAGTCTCTCCACCCAATTCTTTCTTGCTCAGAGGCAAAAGCAGCAGGTGGGACAAGGTGGGGCCTGGACAGCAAGTAACCCTCCGTTCTGCTCAGGAGAAGCACAGCCTCGAGCTGACCCGGAGCCATCCTGGCTCCAGCCTCCACCACACACCTACCTTCACCATTCCACTGTTTTGCTTTCAAAGGATTCTCACGTCAGGCAAAGCCTTGTACAGAAATAGAATCTTCTATAGTTACAGTCCAGCCAGCTTTCCCGTAGGGTATACCCGAGATGCCCGCGGATGGGTTTTGGAGGCTGGGGAGAGCGAACATACAGCCCAACGCACTTCCTGAGCAGCCCACAGGCCGCCTCAGGAGTCCGGCAGCTGAGAGAGTGGGGAGGGGCGGGCAGGGAAGCCAGGCCAGCAAGGAGGGCTGGCCTCAGCCTCATTCCTAAGCGGCACTCCTGATTGCTCACTGGCGTTTGATATGGGCAGGGGAGCATCCTGCCTTCTCAAGCAAGACACTTACAGACAACTGTTAGGGAGCTCATCCGGGAAGCTGAAAGGGAGAGAGGAGTCTGTGTGCAGGACAGCCCGCTCCTGAATACTGCCACAGCCTGTGACCATCTGCCAGCTGCCAAAGTCTGTGGAGAGAGAGGATCCGGGCAGGGGATGGTCCACTGATCTGGGGCAGAGAGGAGAGAGAGGGGAGACGATGCAGTCAGTCATATGCCTGACAGGGAGGCCCTGGAGGGGGTGGGAAGGTACAGCGGTCCTGGGCCATGCCCACAAGGCGCAGTTGGAGCATCTGAAAGTCGATCACGTCCTCCGAAAGTGCAAAAAACAAAGCTGGGTAAGTAGAGATTGAGGAAGAAGAGCAGACCATGATGCATGCTCAGCCGTGAGGACAGTGCTTTGTGCAGACTTGCAGGAGCAGAAGAACAAGAGCAAAGCAAGGTGATAAGAGGTGAGCCAGAACCAAAGCTGGGGTTGTGGCATGCCCGTTCCCAGGAGCTGACACAAGTACAATCCCAACAGCACCAGAAGGAAAGGAACAAGCCTGGATGCCCCAGGAAGCAGGGGCAGGATCACCATGCTCCCTGGCACCCAGACTTAAGGGTGGGCAACACAGAACCCAGAGGCCACTGAGAACCTGTCAGAGGAGAGAGAAAAGGCCTTTGAGGATCTTAAGGGGGGTGACCTAGATTGAAGAACAAGGAGATGGTAGCCCTGAGGTTCCTGCTTCCTCTGCAGCACCTTCCAGAAGCCATAGTTTGTATTCACAAGCATCAACCCAGCAAACTCACTGGCTATGCCCAGAGGGAAGAGATGAATCAGGCAGGAACCTGACAGCTTCATCAGGCCTTTTCCAGATGGAGGTTTGGGGATAGGGGGTAGGGGGGGAAAGTTGCACTGGGAATCTCCTGCTGTCACCTTCTCCCCAAATGCAGCCAACCCCTGTCCTCTGTCCTGGGTAGCAGCCCAGCTGGTGGGGATTGGGGAGGAGATAGGGAGACATCAAACAAGACCTTTCCATCAGCTACCCCAGGTCCCAGTCCCCAGAGAAAGATCTTTATTCTTTAATTCAAGAATAGCAGAAGGTATTCCTGCAGGGACCCAGAAACGGCAGAAGCATGAACAGTGTGGGGAGGCCAGAAGCGCTCACTGCCCTTGGCTCCCCAGTCGTCTGGCATTGAGGGCTCCTGGTCTGAGGCGATGCCCAATCTGTCACTGCTATCTCCCCTAAGTCACCAGGCCTGGCGTATCCTCAAGCAGCTGCCACCTGAGTGCAGCTCTAGCAATCCTTAACCACCCCCTCGCAGCCCAGAGAGGTTAAGACACTTGCTCAAGGTGCCACGGCTAGTGAGTGCAAGGACAGATTTTTGAACTCAAGTTTGACTACAGATTTGTCCTGAAACAGAACCACCTTGAGACCAAGGAAAACAGATGGCTTTCTGCATTCAAGCCACCAGGAACTGGAACCCCTTGTGATACACAGACGTGCCACATTCATCACTCCTGCTAAACTCTAGGAGGTGCGCGATGGCAGCATCAGGGAGGAAGGACAGGACGTGCCTGTTGTGGGTGGAAGCCCCAAGGACCGACGAAGCAGGCTTCCTTGTTTCCAGATGGAGAAACCCAGGCAGCCAGTCAGTCACAGAGTCAGCCTCCTGGGGGAAGCCTGCCCGGTGCTGCTTCCGGGTCACTGTGAGCTCGCAGCTCGCACAACCCTCTGAGGCTCAGCTTGGCTCCAGAACTTATCTACTGTTCCAGCTGCAGGGTAGAGGGGGCCAGCAGGTGGCATGGTGGTTAGGGCTGGACGCTCCCACTTGGCTGACCAAGGCTGAGTCCTGGACCTGGTGGCTTGCTTTCTCACTTTCTTTGTCTCTCTCTAGTCAAAATAAGTGAGCAAGTAAATAAAAATTTTAAAACAAAAAACCCAAAACACCCAAACTGTAGGGTAGAATGTCATCTCCACTATTAGCAGTTTTTGGGCAAAATGATTGCTAAAAGCCAGAGTGCTGAGGGTTGGAAGGGCTGTGGGAACACAGGGAAGTTTCTTATGCTGTAACGCATGCCCCCAGGACAATCAAAGAACACTGCTGGGCCAGCCCATAACCTGGTGGCTAAGACGCCTGGATCCAACATGGCCCACATGGTTGGAGTCCTGGATTTGGCAACATGAGAAACATACCAGCTGCTGGCACACGTGTGTTTGTACCCCAAATCCCGAGAGGAAGATGGAGAAGGGACTGTGGCATGACTATGTTCCGTGTGTGTGTAGGAGGGGGCACACTTGCTTTCCTCTCTCTCCTGAGAATGTATGCATCCTCTGGAAAATTAAAATAGAAGAGAGCACTTGGCAGCACTGCAACCCTTCAGCTGGACACTCCCCAGTTCCTCTCACAGCACCCAGAATCTCACCCCCCCACCTCCTGCCAGACACTCCCGAGGGCGATGCAGAGCAGGCGTTTCTTAGCTAGTCCTTTCTGGAGGGGGGTATGAGAATACCAGAGCAGGTGGAGTGGTGATTAAGGTGCTGGACTCCCACATGGCTGACCGCAATTCTAGTCCCAAACCAGGTGGCTTACTTTTTTTCACTTTAACTCTATCTTTCTCTGATGAGTACATGTGCCCTACAGTAAAAATTAAAAAAAAAAAAAATAATAATAATAGGGGGCCTGCATGGTGGCATGGTGGTTAAAGTGCTAAACTACTACATGGTTGACCGTGGTTTGAGTCCCAGGCCTGGCATCTTGCTTTCTCATTTTCCCTTTCTCTCTCTCTCTGGTCCAATTAAAATAATAACAACAAATTGAATTAAATAAAGAAATCTTTACAAAACAATAATTAATAAAATTAAGTAAATGATTCTTTAAAAAAATTTAAAGAAGGAAAAAGAACACTGCCAGGGGGCAGTGACAGACGAATGGGTTACAGATGGGTTCTCCTTCCTCCAGGATTCCTGGTGCCCCATGCGGGTCACTTCCCCAGCGTCCAAGCAGGACGCCAAGCAGGAAGCACACTTAAGAAGCCAGAGGACAGCCTAGGGAACCAGGCAGTGCAGCAGCAGTGGGGTGCACAAGCCAAGGGACAGAAAGCTCTCATGTTGACAAAGTATCTTTTCCAGACCCTAGAGTTTTTCAAGAGTGAGCCCACAGGCTGCAAACAAGTCTCCCTACTTCAGGCTTCTATGAAAGAATGGGTAGCAAAGGGACCATTCAGCTCCCAGGTTTGAGAGCAAGGGGCCATGCTGGCACAGAGATGCTCGGAAACACCAGTCTGGACTAGTTGGGTAGACAGGCACTAAAAATCCCAGGTCACCAGGAGGAAGGACTTGAACTGGCACATTCGAAGAAGGGAGGAGAGCCTTCCTGTCAGCCTAAGCGCACAGGGAGCTGCACCTGCTTAATAAGACCTACCAGCTCTGCTCTGTCCTCCAGCTCAGGACAAACAGAGCACACACAAAAGTCTCTGTTCTCTCCCACTCTGGAGGAGCAGAGGCAGCCAAACTACCCTCTGCCTAGAGGGCTGTGAGGCTGACAGCGCCCAGAAGTCATCTGTGCACACCCCAGGACATGCAGGTCTCGGACCTCTGCCCAGGAGGGTGGCTTCTCAGCAGCACCGCACTCCCTCAGCTGGACGCTCCTCAGCAACTCCCACAGCACCCAGTCTCAGCCCCCACTTCCTGCCGCAGAGCCCTGAGGGTGATGCAGAGCAGGCGTTTTTCTTAGCTCGTACTTTATGGAAGTGGGTACGAGAATACCACTTCGAGCAGAGCTGGTCAAGGCATGCATAAAGGGGTCTGCATGGTGCCTGGCCTGGCGCCGTTCCCTGACACGGGGAGCTACGAGATACCCAGCTGTTAGTTCCCTGACATGGCCCACAGGCCCTCAGATAAATGACTGGTAAGGACATGTCCGTAACTAGCAGTAACTCAGCATGTGTGGACAGCGTAAGTGTGCATTATTCACAACTGCTCCACTCCATCACCTCATTTAAACCCAAACATAATGGAGCAAGGGTCATTATTTAAAAAAATTTTTTTAAATTTTTAAATGGGATGAAAAAATGGAGCTCATGGAAAATGATTTTCCATGTTACACATCAAGGAGTGGCGCCGCCGCCATGGAAACCCAGGCCTGACCAAACACATCCAGGTGGGCAACACACTGCTGCTCCTGGCTGAGTATGGGTGGAGGCCTCAGGAACTGCTTCACAGACGAGCTCATAACCTTCAAGTGCAAGAAAGCACAGAGCTTCTAACCTATGACTGGAAAAGAGTGTACGGAAGAAAGGCGTCATCCCAGGAGCTCCTACCAGAGGGTGAGGCTGGCATGTGGAAGGGCCACGAGAAACAGGCTGGAACCTCTACCAGGCTGTGCCGGAAGGCTGAATTTCCACAGACTTTGCCATATAAATAGCTTTCCTTCATTGCTTAAACCAGTTTGAGATGTGTTTTCTGTCACTTCCAGCTGAAAACATTGGACAGGACAGACATAAAAGGCTCGGAGGTGACAGCTAGGAAGTTGCCCGTTAAGCCTCTGATTACATAGATTAAAAAATGGAGCCCCAACATCGAGTGACATGACAAGTCACACAGGGAATCAGGGTTGGAACCCAGACCTGGAATCTTAGGCTTTGAGGGGCCCTCGTTGTCACCTAACTCAGATATCCTCCACCCCTGTCCACAAGTCTACCTCGAATGCTTCCAGATGGTCCTACAGCCTCCGCCCAAGGGACCCCCCCACTAGTAATGGGGGTCCCCCAGCCTAGTCTAGTCTTTTAAACACTGGAAGTGTGTCCGTATCACTCAGTCAGGGACTCTGCATTCCTGGAGCAGCCCAAGGAGATCTCTGGGGGCTCCATGCTTCCTCTTCTAGGTCACATGCTGGCAGGGCCTTCAGGCCTCTCGCCACTGTGCCAGGCCTGGGACTGTGGACCCACTTAGGAGCACATCCATGGGGGACACCACCCCACAAGGTCTAGCTCCTAGAGGTCTAGCTCTTCTTCCTCATGGAGAGGGCCCAGGGCAGAGCTCATCATTTACAATGAGCAGTGAGCAGGTGGCGGCCAGGGAAAGCCACCGACTGGCAGCAGGGGCTGGTTCCTCTGCGGCTACTTAGCTATTCAACCGGGCTGCTGGCACCAGCAGGTGCATCTGCGCGTCAGGCAGTCTGGCTTCACGCTGGGCTCGTGGGGGCAAACCCCTCCTCTGGCCCAGAGCATGCTGTGCTGGCACTCCCCTGCCCGTACAGGAAGACCGATTCCAGATAGAGCTCAGGCCACGAGGAGCTGGACAATTCACTAAAAACCAGGGACTGGCGAGGCAGGTGATCTCAGAGCACTGGTCCTGCCCCTTCCCTGGGGGAAGGGCACAGGGAGCCCACAACACTGGAAGGCTGGATTTCCACCACTTACCCACAGAAGTAGAGTTCCTCTATTGTTTAAATCAGTGTTAGATGCGTTTACTTCCACCTGAAAGCATCTGAACTGACAGGGTGGATGTGAGAATTAACAGTGGCCTAGACACACAGCTCCATGGAAGTGAGACCGATGCTAGAAAGTCCGCAGTCTCCTCAGTGAGGAGTGTGGGGTCAGGGCTTGATAAGAACCAGGCCTCCTACTTAACTTTGAACAAAGCTTCTGATTCTGCTTCAAAGGAAATATGCATGTAGAATGTGGAGCCTATAGAGCCCCGAGAATGAGGTGGGAGGGTGGGAGGGGAAGTTGGACTGTCAGCCTTACCAAAAGGCTTCCTTCCCCACAGTTCCGCCTACTGCATTAAGGACCTGATTGGTTATTGTTACCTAAGAGGCAGGCATGCTAATAACAGGATCCCTCAGGCACTTTAAGATAAAAGAGACTAAATTAATTCTAATGTTAATGGAAATACATAATTAGATGCTCCAAATCTGAATAAACTAGTCTTTCAAAACCTCTGTCAAACAGGCATCCAATTTAAGAGAACCTCATGCCTGTGCCTGTCCCAGCCAGGATGGCTCTAGGTGGACATTTCAAAACAGACCAACAGACCCATCGATTCTGCCCAGCAGCCCGCCCCTCGCCTTTCAAAGCCTGCACCCACTTTGGTCCAGCTATCCATGACTCAGCCAGGCCCCAGGACACAGGGCTAAGGCCAAAACAGCACTCCAAATCCTCTCTCCAGAAGACAGGGTGGCTTTGGTGGCCATCCTGAACCAGTTGGGAGTCAGAGCAGGCAGGGAACTACCCTGAGATTGAGGGAAACTATCTTGGAACTGGAAAGGAGTTGGGGCAGGAAGAAGGGACGGCGAAAGCTGGGGTGTGGGAAAGGGCGATGGAGCGCTGGCTCGGCGTGGGAGCTCCCAGCAGCATGGACAGTGAAGATGGGGACAGGACTCAGTGAGTGAGAGGAGTCTCCTGCTTTCCTCTCCAGCTGTCCACTCTGCACAGGCAGAAAAGAGCATGAGCCCAGCCCAGAACAGCGCGTGCCACACAGTGCCACCACAGTCCCACGGCAGTGCTCAGGGCAGCCTACATGCAGACAGGATGGCATGGCTGCAGGCACACACGCCAGGCCCACACAGATGTGGACGAGCGCAGCCCCTGGATGGCACCGTCCCTGCTCAGCCGCACCCACCAAGCCTCTAGTGGGCAGGAGGGCCCGTGGTCCTGGCTAAGGGGCTCAGCACTGGCCCCGGCAGTGTTCAGGTGAAGGGCTTGCCTGTGGAGGTGCGACTTGGGACCTCTCTGGACAGCACCACCGAGCACCTCCTAGCTGTAGCTCACTTGCTCTGCCCACGCGTCAGAGATGGCCCTCCCCGGCCTCCTACACCATGTTTATTTGTCCACAGAAAAACTAGACAATGGTGATGGGAGGAGGTCCCGCAAGTTCTGGGTGTTCCTCATCACAGGGCTTTGACCACGGAGGAAATGAGTCCCGAGGTCACTGGCAGGGCAGAGCTGGGCTCGAATCTGGGATGGACTCCAAAGCTCACGCCTGTTCTGCTAAGAGGCCCTTAAATTCTAGGGAGAATGGGACATTCAAGTCCCACACTGCTCTGTGCTCTCCAGAAGGGCTTTACACAACACTGCAGCTCACAGGGTTCTTTCCTTGGTGTACAAAATGGAGAAAGCGGTAGGTAGCGTGCCAGCTAGGACAGGCTGACCCCAATGTTGGCCCGCCCCTCAGCTCTCGCCTGTGGCCCAGCACTCTGCTTTACTCTCCCCTAAGGGACCCCTCCTGGCAGGACACTCAGCCCACACCTTTGGGCGTCCATGTGGCCGGGCGGCTCCTTTTCCAGGTGTGCAGTTGCCTTAGGTTTGCCTAGCCTGGCTCCCTGAGATCTGTCCTCCCCTCTGCTCCGCCAATCTGGATGTGGAGTGTGAGAACGAGAAGGGACTGGGAGCAGCTAGCTCCACCTGCTCAGTCACAGCGTGAGGTCAGGGAGGGCTGGGATCTGCCACAGGTGAAGGCGGAGGCAGCCCTGACCCCCTCCCCCGCCCCGCCCCCCCCCAACTACATCACAACCTCTATACTTTGCCCTGGGTTCTGCCAGAGACCCAGGAAGGTTTCCGCCACTCTGTAACCTGGCCCTCATAGTGCCCTGACACTGGCCCATCCTCCAATTGCAGCCTGCAAGCTTGTCAACCTCTTCGGGTCTCCTTGGTTACCTGCCCAGCAGGCCACACGCCAGTGAACCCAGTCCGAAGATACCACCCGAGATACGAACTCAAGGGCCAGTCCTGGGTAAGGGGAGGCTGGCTTCCTCCACCAGCAGGCTCTGGAGCTCCTCACCTGGGTTTGGGGACCTCCAAGGGACTGCTACCCATTCTGAAAAAGTTGTCAGAATGGTTTGAGGAGGAGGAGCTGGAAGATTTGGCTTCTACCAGCCCCTGGTGGGAAGGCGGGCGGTCCTCAGAGGGCTGTGGCCGGTTCCAGAGAACACTCTGTGGAGAGGATGAGTGACTCTTCCTCCTGCAGCAGAAAGAATGGGGCCGTCGTTGGCTAAAGGGCTGCCCCTGGCAACCCTCTGTCCATCCTCATGGAATCTCAGAGCCCAGCCCTGGCTTCCAGTGGGAATGCCAAGGGAGTGAGCACGCAATCGGCATTCTGCCAGCGCAGCGAGGGCTGGGTCTTTACCGGGGACACACTGGCCTGCTGGCCTCAGAGTTTTTGCTACAGGGAACGTGGGCTCATTGGCGGCAGGGTGGGGGCAGTGAGAATGAGAAAGCATCCTCGGGGGATGGCCCGGCCACAATCCCTTCCCCATCATTCTCCTCTCAGGATTATGGGCACACATGCACAAACACCTGGAGTGTTTCTCAAGCTACCGGGGTCAGGAATCAAACCACACAGTTGGCCATGTGTGATCCAGCCACCCCAACCACCGTGTCACCAGCTAGCCCAAGAAAAATGATCCTTCATCAACAGTTCAACAACTGACCCCTCCAAATGTGACACAAACTCTTGAGCTGCTTGTCTGTGGAAAGTCACCAGGGTCTCAGATTATCAAAGGATTCGCCCCACGAGCAACTTCCCTGTTCTTGGTCATCATTCTGAACTCACCTTTTGTTTCCTTTTTCTAAGTCTCCCCCACCCTCCACAGATAAAACTCATCCAGGAACTCCTTTATCCCTCTGCCCAGCTTAGCCCTACAGCTTCTTCGTCCCACAGAGACCTGGCCCTTTGTGTGCCCAGGCCACCGTGGGCACTAGCCCTCACCAACCAGATGGCTGGCCTCTGAAGCCCAGCAGAGACAGCAGGGGCATGGAGCTGTGCTCTCAGGCCTTCTGTCGGGGGCCCTCTTTGTTCCTGGGGCTCTAGCCTGGCTCCCTGGGGCTGGTGGCCCTGGGCCACAGCTGGGAGTGAGCTTGGCCCCCGTCTGCCCCTTACCAAGCTGCCTGAGTCTGTGCTCCTGCTGGGATCAGCTCCACAGCCTCGTAGGTGAAGCTCCCAGCAGCTCCTGGGGAGCTCTCCATGACCAGGGAGAAGTCGCTGCCAAGGCTGGTGCTGCTGCCCCGGTCCCTTCGTCCTGAAAGAAGCCAGTGCCACCGGTCAGCATGTCGTCTTCTCCCACTACTGCCCTGCTCTTCCACACAATATAGTCGGAAACTTCTCAAATTGGTCTACACTCAAAAAGACGCAAGAGGAAGGGCCGGCTGGGGCCTGGCACTCACTGAGCATGCAGATATCTTCCAGGGTGAAGCCTGCATCCCGGGCTGGCAAGCTCTTCCTCCTGTGAACAGACGCCAGAGCAGTGACTATGAGACCCAGCTGGTCTCCTCTGTCTTCACGCCCACCCCTGGAAAGTACCTCTGACGCGCTGGTAACTCACGGAGACAGGTTCTACCTAGCGTGTGACAAAATGCCAGAGTCACTTCTGCGACCCACCCCACCTGATTCTGCCCCATACCCAGCTGCAGATTTCTAAGGCCCGTAAGGCCTGCCGCTTCCTTATCAGCTTGGGGCCTGACAGTCCAAGCCTGGCCCCACAAGCTAAGAACTTGGACTAGGCAGGCAAAAAGCTCAGACAAGGCCCAACTCTGCAGGGGTCCTAAGGCAACTGACTGCCAGGACTCCTGCATGTTCTGGGCTGGAGGGAGACTCCTGCTGCATGGTGCTGGGCCACAGGGCATGCACACACGCCTTCTGCAGCAGGCCAGGCAGGATGAATGCCATGGGGCTGGGAGTCCTCCTGTCCTTGGGCTGGTTCTCCAGGCAGCAACACACCCTGCTCTCTGTCACCGCAGACCACTCATCCCCCCCAAAGCCTCTGAGCTGGTGGCTGACTCCGACATGGCCTCCCTGGCAGAAGAGCCTTTACACCCAGCGGGCCTCAGCAATTACACCTACCCTGGCCTCAGACAGGAGGCAGGGAGGGCATGCCATCCTGCCAACATGCAGGGAAGTGGGGCAGAGAGCAGGCGGTGAGATGCCACATGCTGAATAGCAGCCCCTCTCGGAGTGCCTCTGCCCCATCGTGAGTGTGCCAGGCTTCTGCTTACCTCTGGATCTTCAGAGCAGAGAACTCCTCAGAGGTGATATGCTTCAAAAAATTGAAGCAGAAGAAGAAAATCTGAAGGAGAGACAAAAAAGTAGCACACAATGTGAAGAGGGAGAGAGAACTGAGGGGGCAGAAGGCCTGGGGGAGGATGGCGAGCCTGCTGGCCAATCCCCTGCTGGGGACCCTACTGATATTCTGGTGTCTGTCTGGTGTGGGTGGTGCAGAGGGCTCAGCGGGGTCTGCGGATGCACTTGTGCTGGGTCAAGAAAGGAAAGGAGGCGTTTCCCTCCTGGGAATGCTGCAAGTTAAGCCAGTGACTCTTGAAAACATTTTCAAATTCAACATGTGTGTTCTCAAGCTGTTAGAAAGGGCAGAGAATAGTAGCTTCTTCTTCTACCCCTCTTAAACGAACCCCAGGGAGCAAGGCTAACAAGGAAGAACAGCTCAAAGAGAGATGATCTGAGGGCAGGAAAGCAATGGCTGGGAAAGGGATATTTTGGGGGAGGGGTATCCAGAAACAGTAGTTCAGGAGAACTGTGGTAGTCGCTGTCTGGCCCAGAGCCTGCCTCGCTCAGGAGCCGTGAGGATGAGGTGTAGGCAGCAGGATCCTGACCTCAAGCTGCACTCTCCACCTCCTGAAGCAAATTCTCTCCTTCTCCTTCCAGCCAGTGCTGCAGTCCAGGGGCCTCCATAAAGCCCCTGAGCTTACATCTCTGGTTTGTAAACAGACCCCCCAGGGATGCCCCAAAGTGCAGCCCAAGAACCCCTCACTCACAGAAATACATATCCCTGGTTCCCACAGAGCCTATAAGATTTCCTCAAGGGGGGGGAGTTGCCAGGTCAGACAGTATGGAAATGTTGTGTTACATAAAGTTAAATAGGTGCTTCCCCCAGAGACTTTTTAGTCTTTAATATGCTAATGTGCTCACTGAACCTCAAAGGCTGGGAGGGACAGAGCGGTGTTCAGTAGACCTGGTTTTTTTGTTTGTTTATTCTAAAGCTTCAGTGCCTGGGGTGTCTGGTGAGGGTAAGAGAAAGGCCCACACCGGGAAAACAACACTCCGATGTGAATACCCTCATGTCTATGCTCAGAGATGCCAAGATATTTAACTCTGCACCCCCTGGCTTAGCGCCCCTCCTTAGCTGAGCCCCTGAAGACAGAATCTGGCCTGCTGTGGAGGGAGGGGGAGAGGGCAGTAAGGAGCTCGGCAAAGCCCCAGGCAGGAGGCTACAAAGAGGCTTTCCACACCGACTCAATGCCAGAGTGGCTGGGGTTCAAGGAGGCCTCGGGGGAACAGGCTTATGAGCTCTGCAGCCCTGACAGATGTGATAAGTGCTCCGAAGAAGAGATTTGGAAGGGGGGGAGCCGCTGAAAGGAAGGGACAAAAGGAGGTGGCGGAGATTAGATGCCCAAGAAGGAGGCAGCCAGGGTGAGGAGGGTGAGAAAGATGCTTCAGAGGACAGGGGTGCAGGGAGGAAGAACCCCGGTGGGCACCAACTCCTCCTCTTAGGGAGGCGGCATGCATCACACCAGGAGACTCAAGGTGAAGCACATGCCCAAGGTCACCCGGGCAGGAAGCAGGACAAGCAGGGGCTTTGCGCAGACCTGTGCGCCGAATGGGCAAAGGCTGCAGAACAGGGCATGAGGACAGGAAGGGGAAAAGTGGTCACACAGGAGGGGACCTGCAGGCAGCCGGCGGGGAGGACTGGGGCAGGACTTCCATGCACGGGACAGCCCATGTTGAAAACTGGCCGAGTGGGTGTGAGGGAGAGGAGGACAGGAGGTGCTTCTGAGTTTCAGTAGTGAGCCCTGTAGCCTGGTTCCTGCATGGAGTGCAGAAAACAGGGTTGCCCATGAGGAAGGGGGAGAGAGCCCACACAGGAAGGTCTGGGCAGCTGCACACTGCTCACACCCCTGCGTGGGCATGTCGCCACTGCACTGTGGAGGGTGACTGAGGCCCATCACTGGAGCCCCTGTGCTGCCGAGCAGGAGAGGGCACCCGCACGGAACCGCCTCCCCCCACGCCCCCTCGGCAGTGGTGCTCACCTCCTCTCCTTTGCTGAGCCGATCTACCAACATGTGCCTGAAAAAGGGAGATGAGGTCAGCATGAGCAGATGAGGCCAGCTCCTGGGACCCGGCCCCCAAAGACAGCTGGGTCCTGATCAACCTCTCATCCTTCCCTAGGGTGGGGTTATCCCTGCCTCGGACTGCATCCGGGAGCTGTCCACTGCCCTACAGGAACAGTCACCAAGGCTTACCCAAAGAGGAACCAGTCGTAGGCCACAGTCAGGTAGAGGATCTCAGCAGGCTTCAGGGACATGTGGATGAGCCCGTCCTGGAAGAGACCGTGGAGCTGTGACAGGACCAGGAAACTGCCGTCCCAGGTCCAAGTCTTCTCATTGCAGGAGCTCAGCCACGACGAGGCCAGAGGCAATGCAGGCTGACCCACCACCCAGAGAGCGTGCTTAAACACGACACCTGCTCAGCCTTTAGGCCTTCACCCAAAATCACTGTGTTCCAGAGACAAGCCCAGTGCACCACAGGGGTGAGTGTGGTCAGGCCTAAGGGCTCCCTCCCCAGGACCCGGCCTATCCATACTCACAGCCCACAAGGAAAGGCGCAGGAGCGAGATAAAGAGGGGGGTCCGATCCCAGCCTGAGATACAGTGCACCAGCAGCCCACTGTCGTCTGCTCAGGAACCGCAGGGGAGGCCCAGAAAAGAATCAGACAGGAGCCGATGAGACGGGAAGTGCCAGCACCTGGCCTGCTGTGAGGGGGTCGGTCACTCCTCGATCCCTCCCCCAGGTGGGCCTCCCCAAGTTTCTTCTCCAACCTAGTCCCATAGCGGGTGGGACGTGGCGTCTGTCTCTGTCCAGGGCATCCTCCTTTCTGGCTATAGCCCTCAGTGGGCCCGCTCCTGGGCGAGGCCACTCTGCTCTGCCCAGGTGGCATAGGTGGGGCTGCCCACCTGTCCCTGCCTGCTGTTTCTCGGGGGGCACTTCTGCACCATGCAGGACATTTCCCATGCCTGGCCAACACCTTCCACGTGCCATGGTCCTCCACCACCTGGCTGGTTCCTGACACCCAACTCTAGGCACACGGCTCCAGAAGTCCTTGGAGGAGCTGTACTGCCCCAGCTCGAGAGCTACTGCCTAGCACTAGAGACCAGAAAGAACTTTTTATTTTTCAAACATTTTTTAAACATAAAATGTTTTTAAAATTTTGGTCTGAAAGAATTATTTGATTTTATTTATTATATTAAATATTTGACCAGAGAGAGGCAAAGTGAGAAAGCAAACAGCCAGGTCTGGGACTTGATCTGCGGTTGGCCATGTGGGAGTCCAGCACATTAACCGCCACACCATGCTGACCTCCTGGGCCAGAGGGGACAACTCTTTTTGCAGTTCTGGTCACCTGATCTAACCTGGGCCAATGAGCACAAGCAGAGACTTTCACAGGCGCTCCAGGGACAGAGCCAGCTCTGTCCTCCAGGGGAGCTAACATGACAGAGGCGAGTCTGGAATGGCCGCCAGCGGCTTTGAGAAATAGACAGCTTCTCTGTGATATTTCTTAGCCACTCAGCTCTGCTCTTGGGCCTTCTTAGTTTCAGAAGCCAATACATTTCCACTTCCCCAAGCAAACACAACCCCACAGACGTCCGCTCTCCTCCCTGGAGACACTGAGCAGGACAGGTCAGTCCCACAGAAAGAACCAAACAGCGGGATGATCCTCTGGAAAAGAGGTCTTCTGCAGGCTTGTATACACCAGACTGGGAGCCAGGCCTGGTTCTCTTGGGCCTCATCTGTCTGAGCCAGGGGCCCATCCCAGCATTGCCCCCGCCAAAGCCGAAGCTCAAAGGTCAAGTGAGCCAGGCAAACACCCTGTGCGTGGGTCAGATGAGTTCCTGATGTGTTCCAGGCTTTGGCAGATGTGGAATAATCTAGCAATGGGCAAGGCCCAGGCAGCCTGTGGGCTTCCAGGGAATCCCTCAGCCCCTCTCCCACTGAGCATGCCTGAGTATCAGGACTCAGGTGCAGCCAGATGCTGAAGGCCCTGAGGGCTCAGGAACAGACTCACCATCGCTGTTGACTATGGAAAGCAGCAGTTTCAGGTAGTTTTGAAACAGCCAGGTCTGGGACTTGATCTGCGGTTGGCCATGTGGGAGTCCAGCACATTAACCGCCACACCATGCTGACCTCCTGGGCCAGAGGGGACAACTCTTTTTGCAGTTCTGGTCACCTGATCTAACCTGGGCCAATGAGCACAAGCAGAGACTTTCACAGGCGCTCCAGGGACAGAGCCAGCTCTGTCCTCCAGGGGAGCTAACATGACAGAGGCGAGTCTGGAATGGCCGCCAGCGGCTTTGAGAAATAGACAGCTTCTCTGTGATATTTCTTAGCCACTCAGCTCTGCTCTTGGGCCTTCTTAGTTTCAGAAGCCAATACATTTCCACTTCCCCAAGCAAACACAACCCCACAGACGTCCGCTCTCCTCCCTGGAGACACTGAGCAGGACAGGTCAGTCCCACAGAAAGAACCAAACAGCGGGATGATCCTCTGGAAAAGAGGTCTTCTGCAGGCTTGTATACACCAGACTGGGAGCCAGGCCTGGTTCTCTTGGGCCTCATCTGTCTGAGCCAGGGGCCCATCCCAGCATTGCCCCCGCCAAAGCCGAAGCTCAAAGGTCAAGTGAGCCAGGCAAACACCCTGTGCGTGGGTCAGATGAGTTCCTGATGTGTTCCAGGCTTTGGCAGATGTGGAATAATCTAGCAATGGGCAAGGCCCAGGCAGCCTGTGGGCTTCCAGGGAATCCCTCAGCCCCTCTCCCACTGAGCATGCCTGAGTATCAGGACTCAGGTGCAGCCAGATGCTGAAGGCCCTGAGGGCTCAGGAACAGACTCACCATCGCTGTTGACTATGGAAAGCAGCAGTTTCAGGTAGTTTTGTGTTTGTTGCACCAGGTCCCAACTCTGTTAGAGAAGACAGAAAGAAGTGTAGGACATGGTATGAACTCCGACTTGGAACTTAAAGTACTTAACAAATACACTGCTGGGCCAGCTGTAGCCTGATGGTTAAGGTGGCTGGATCCCACAGGACCGACTGTGTGGTTCCAGTCCCAGACCCTGCAGCTCGAGGAACATGCTACGTGCATGTATGTGTGTGCCCAAAATCCCAAGAGAATTTAGAAGGGATTGCTGCTTGGTCATGCCCTCCCTGGGGTTGTGTGTGTGTGTGTGTGTGTGTGTGTGTGTGTGTGTGTGTGTGATTTCCCGTTTTCTCTCTCTCTCCAGCAAGCACAGGCACCCTATAACCAATTTAAAAATAAATACTAAGAGTTACTCTGGGGCAACAAGCACATGAGGCCCTCGGACACAGGCCACAGGCCTCAAGTCCAAGGTAACGCAGATACCTGAGCGCTCCTGGCACTGCTCTCGCACCCCTCACCTGAGGAACCCCTTACTCTGCACATCCTAACCCAATGTGAGGGTGAGAAGAGGAAAGGGATGAGACCTGGTACCCACAGCCCTCCCGACCTGTGGCAGTGGCTGTCAGGCAAGCACATGTCAGTGACCTGAGTCCCGAGCTCCTGGCACAGCTGAGTCAATACAGGGAAACGTGCATGAGCCTGGGGCCCATCTCCTAACGGAAAGAATCATTCTTTCACCTGCCCTCTTATCTCAGGAACGAAGTGAAATACCAATCTTCTCAACAAACATGTTTTATTTGCTTTTTACTGCTATTCACAGCATACTGTCTTTTGATGAATAAAAAATGCAGTCTGTTTGGCAGACAAAATCTTTTAAAACAGTAGGCTCGTGAAGTGGGAGATGGAAAATAAGCAAAGAGCTGGACAGAGAACAGAATCTCTGTTTTAGCCCGAGCAAAAGGTCCAGCCTGGACGCTCTGAGGAGCAGCCCACTCAGAATCTGGAATTCTGCGGAGGGGCCTGACCCAGTTCTGCAGTGCCCTCTTCACTGGCGGGGGAGCCTCTGTTCTCTGAAGACCCAGCTGCTGATCAGTGTTCCAGGCTGTGCAGAGAGGGTGGTGCATGCCAGCCAGAGAGCACCTCCCAGGGGGAGGGGAACACGGCACCTGTAATTGGAGTGGTTTTCCCAGGAACTGAAAACAGGCTCATTTACCGACCCTCCCACAGCCCCTGGAGAGTTCTGACCCACTTTCAGCAGCTCCAGAGACAGTGCTGCGGCGCTGTGCTAACCAAGTCATTACCAGTAGTAGCACGAGGGGCCTCAGCTCGGCATGCCTGTCACACGGCTGCCAGCAGACTTCCTCAGAGCTGGGATGCTCTCGAGTGAGGGCAGCAGTAGGAAGGCAGAGCCGCACAGCGCACGGCCCAGGGAGGGGTGGGTGGGCCGGTGTGTGGCAGTGGCAGTGGCTGAGGACCATGGAGGGGCAGAAAGCTGTGGGGCACCAACAGCCACAGTGACTACCCAGAGCCGCTGACAGCCAGGAGACATGGCCAGCTCTAGGGGCTGGGGGGCAGGTGGCAGAGGCCCAAAGTCACACTGTTGAGGGCCCAATCTAGCCCTGCCAGACTCCAGAGGCCACGCTTCTGGTCACACACTACACTGCAGGGACTTTCTGCAACAGCAGAGGAAGGAACAGAAGCCTGAGTGGCTACTGGACATGAGGAGGGCCTGGGAGACATGCCGGGACATGTTGGGCTTGCCTGACACTCTGGTTCCACATGCCCCACAAAGTCGCCTCTGGGAGCAGAGCTAAGGATCGTGCTTCTGCTGATGCATCTATGCCTAGAGTACCCTCCCCCTGGCTGGCAAACTCCTACTCCTCCTCGAAGGCCCAGCCCAATGACCTCTCAATGAGGTCTCCTCCTGGGGCCACTAATTGGAGCCTGTTATACAGGTGACGGTCACGCTGCCTCTTTCCCAGATGAGTGGGGTGAGAGGGGAAGACTGTTTGGGTCTGCACTGCTCAGGCAGAGGGCTCAGGGACCAGGAGGCACCTGCAGAGGCCCACGGAGGACTGGGAAAGCCACAGGCATGCCCAGCTACGATGGCCACCCAGAAGTTCCTCCCTGTCTGTTCAGGGCGCAGGCAAGGGTCTTGGGTACTGAAAGGAGTGCACCTCTAAGGAAGCGGCCGGTTACCTGGGAAGTGGCAGGCACACACACGGCTGCCACACCACCCTGAGGTCGTGCATATCACCCTGCAGTGTCACGTCAAGATTGTGACACACAACCCTGTGCAGGGTCACGGGAGAGTGAGGATGAAACTGGACCACTGCAAGTGCTACCTGAGAGCCTCAAGGACGCTGTGGGACTGCGACCCGCGGAGCCTCCCCTGAAGGCTTCTCCAAGGAGGTGACAGGGCAAGGGAGGAAAGCAGAACCTGGAGAGGGCACCCTCCCCGTCCCTCAAGGGGCTGTAGGACAGGACCTCACATGGACAGGCAGGCCAGATGGCGTGGAGCTGGGTGGGCCACCGAGGGATCCTTGGGCTGCCTTCTGAGGAAGAGGGGACGTCAACGGTGGGTCTAGGTGGGGCTGAAAGTGACAGCCCTGCTTTGTCACCTAAGCACCCGCCGCCTGCTAGGCCCCACCCTAAGCACCACGCAGCCATTATGTCCATCCTCAACATGGCTGCACCACAACGACGGTGGCCCGGAGTAGCCAGGGCACAAGAGACAGAGGCAGGAGGGCAGGAGTCTCACCGGGGCTCTGAAATGGAGAACTGACGGAACCTCACGGATGGGGGCAGTGGGCAAACAGCCTGAGTTTCTGGTCTGAGCAGCTACGTAAATCATGAGCTACAGCCAGCTCCCTTCTGGATGGCGTGAGTCTGAGAAGCTGCATAAAGGGACACTTGGGAAAGGTTATGTAGGTGTGGGTCAGAGGGCGAGGGATGAGACCATCTGGCAGGAGGGTGAAGATTAACAGGGAGCCCTGGGACCCCAGTGCTCACAGGATAGAGAAGGCAGGGCCTACCCCTGGTCAAGGAACAGGATGCAGGAAGCCCACTGAGACAAAATGGCTGAGCAACACTGAAGGGTTGGTCTCATGGCAGAAGCCCGCCTCCAGCACTCGGGTCTTGCTGCCATCGTGCCTGGAAGCTTATCGGGAAGCGTCCCTGAGTCAGCCAGCGAGCAGCCTGCTGACTAATTACCATCACTGCACTTCATCTGGTATTCCAGTTCAGGGGACATGCTCACACGGTGCCAGAGTAGAGGCTGCGCACGAATTCCAACAGGGGTGCGGACTCCCCTTTAGGGGAAGCGAAGTCATCTGCTTAAGACCACAGAGCCTTGCCAGGGCCAGGGTACAGGACCACTGGCTAGGCAGAGCTCCTCGTGCGCGAGGACTCCGGCCTACAGAGGCCAGCGTCCTGGCCAGGGCCGCGCACGCAGCCCAACATTCCTCCTGACCAGGAGAGCAGCTCATCACTGAGTCTGTACCCATGTGAGGAGGGAGACGGAGAGGGAGACGCCAGGAGGGGCGGGGCCAGTTTAAGACCTCTGCACACAAGGAGCCTGCAGGTTCCTTCGCCCCCTCAATCTGTCCAGGCACAGCCTGGGAGCAGAGACCAGGGGACAGGTCCCCCGTGAACCTGTTTCTGCTGCAGGTTTCCAGGTCACAACAGACAAAGCTGGCTGCTCCCCTTCCTAAGGCTCCCTCTCCTGCGCACTCCACGTAGGGGAGACCTGCCATCACCCAACTTCGTTCAACAGTTGCTGAGTTTCTACCTCGTGACTAGGGCCCAGACAGATAACGAGACAAACACGGCCCTGCCTTCACAGACCTTGCTGCCGTCAGGACACGGGTGCAGGTGAGATGGGAGCATCCTCCTGCCGGACACAGGAGGGGGGCCTCTGAGATGAGGACGTTCTAGGCTGGGTGGGATAGACATGGATGGCAGGAAGTGCCAGGACGGCAGCCTGTTTTCACTGGCTCTGTCTTTTGAGCAGCAGGCCCTGTGCCCATTTCTGTGCTGGGGTCCCCCATCCTCCTGGAGCTCAGAAGCAGATCTCTAGATCAGTGACACAAGCCAGTGGAAAATTCCAAGACAGACGTGCCCAGGGGGTTAATGGGAAAGTACACGCAGGTAGCTAGCCCTCCAGAGATGGGGAGAGGAGGCTACTGGGGGGTCACCTCAGGCAAACACCCAAGCCAAATTCTGAAGGGCAGTGTGTCAGCAGACAAGAGGGGGCTAAGAAGTGGCAGCTGGGCAGAGGGAACAGGACGCTAGGAAGGTGGCAGGAAGAACAAGGGCACTTGTCCTGTCTGAAGCAAGGGGCAAGCAGACGGCTGGCAGCCTTGAGCTGTGTGGCTAAAGAGATGGACCCACCGGTAAGAGCAGGGGCCCCTCAATGGTGGACAGTGACAGAGAGGGAAACATAATGGGGTAATTTTAAAGTTTCTATAATCGAATGAGGTCAGGCAGCTCTGTGCTTCCTCCGCAGAACACACATTTAAAAGAAAGAAATGAAAAAAGTCACTAAAGCCCAGATCTGGAAAAGCAGACTCCATGAGGCCCTCTGGAACAGAACCCCCTGGTGGATGCAAATCTTTGAATGAGTCACGTTCAGAAAGCTTTGGATTTCTAGGCCAAGAGCAAATCTGGAGAGAGAGTTAAACAGATGAGCAGCTCCCCGTTTCCTGAGCTATGAAAGGTCGGGGGGCTGAAGGCATCTGAGGACATAGCCAGGCTGCCAGGCATCTACATGCAGGTCTTCTGGGGCCGGTGGCAGGGATCCCCTGAGTCCCCCGCTCTTATCATACCCTGCTGACGTCAGGGCCCTCACCTGATACTGGCTCCAGTCAATGTTCAGAGAGTGTGTCAGGGAGTCGGGGATGTTCAATGGGGCATCGACATAGTCCTGGGGACAAGAAGACATCTGTGAGACGCGGGCTGAGATGTCCCTCCATGGCACCTGCCTCTCTGGATGCTGTGCTGTCCCAGGGATGACGTAGCTTACAAGTCAAAGTGACCAGATCCCTGCAGCTGAGTGGAGCTTTGCAGTCAGACATTGAGTGCCTGCTGCAGACGAGGACAGGAACAATCTGCAACCAGCCTCCAGCAGGTTCCGGCCACCTCTGGCCTGCTCCTGCCGACTGGGGAGGGGACAGAATTCTGCTCCCTGTCTCTAGCAGACAGAAGAGGAAAGAGGACTTTTCTATTTTGCCCCCCTCAAAAAAATTCCTTTAAAGAAAAGGAGAAATGGGACCAGCAGTTAGTGTAATGGCTATGTCGCTGGACTCCCATGTAGTCAGTCGAACATGGTTCGAGCCCTGGACCCAGTGGCTTAAACTCACGATCCCGAGAAAATGGAAGAGAAGGGATTGTGGCATGGCCATCCCCTATAGGGGGCGGGTGTGTGTGTGTGATTTCTTGCTTTCTGTCTCTCTGGCGACCGCATGCATCCTATAGCAAAAACCTCTCAAAAAAAAAAAAAAAAAAAAAAAAAAAAAAGGAGAAATTAAAAGGGGGGAGGAATGTATATGTGATGAAAATGTAACATGCATATTCGAGGAGAAGTAGAGAAAGAAATAAGGAGACTCACATAAGAAAGAGAAAGGAAGGGAACAGCATGTGGCACAGTGGTTAGGGCGCTGGACTCCCACATGGTTATTCGTGGTTTGAGTCCTAGACCTGGTGGCTTTGCTGTCTTACTGTCTATTTCTCTCTGTGTGTCTCTCTGGTGAGCGCATGTGCCCTATAACAAATTAAATAAAAATAATGATAATAAAATTTTAAAAATATTTTAGAAAAAAGAGGAAAAAGATAACAATCTTCCCCAGAAGACCGCTAGCTATTATCCTTGCCCCCCCCCTCACAACACAAGGCCCCCACTGGTGAACGTTCATGCTCATACCTGCTTCCAGTTAAATATGAGCCCTTCGGCCATGTAATCCCGGTCCTTATACTCCTTGAAAAATTCACAGCCTGGAAAAGAAGGGCCAAGTTATGGTACCTACCTTCCCATCCCAATGTGTCCTAGGCCACCCTGGCTGACTGCGGCCTCAGTGCTGAGGACTGTCAGGCTGCCAGCTCACACATGTCCCCGCCTGGCTCCAGTGAGGCCAGGGAGGAACCAGATGAGGGCTGGAATAGGCAGGCCTAGTCAGAGAGCGGACCTCTGGGACACTCCCCCTCACCTCACATCTCTTTAACTCTCTCTGTCTGTGCTCCCTGGTCACTCCCCTCCATTCCCGCCTGCTGCAGGTCCTTTTGTTCTTTGAATCCTCGCAGTACCAACCCTAGCAAACAAGAGCGTGGCTCCACTGTGAGTCCCAGCGGCTGACCTAACTGCTGAGGATTGCTCTTCCTCATCCAAATCAGGAGCAGTAACACTAACCTTGCAGACTATTATTTGGGCTTAGTGTCCTCACACACCAAAATGACCAGGCCGTGCCTGAAACTGGTGCTCAAGAGCCACTGTCATCTCCAACTAAGCAGGAAAAGAGGAACTTGTCTGCATCCTCCACAGGGAAGTAAGAACGCTCACCAGGGTCAGCCCTCAGGAACAGAGAGAAACGGTAGGGACGGCACTCCAGCTCTTCCCTTAGCTCTGTGACTGCAAACACATCATTGTCGTCTCTAAGCCTTGATTTTCCTGCTTGTAAAGTGGTCGAGGATGAAGTGAAATACCGCACACAAACCCCCAGCACGGCACAGGTAAAAGGGCACCAGATGGCAGCACAGGGCGACTGTCATCACATGGCTGGGCGGCACGGGCTCACGGTGCTGGCCCCGCAGCTCACAGCCAACAGCTCCACTCCGCACGGGCTCAGCGACCTGCTCGAGGGCACGGGCTGCCCCCGCTCTGGCTGTCCCGTGCTCAATCTGACCACATCACGGCCGGCACTCAGGCCTCCCAGTGTTTCCGGAAGTTTCAGGCCACAGCACGAAGCCCCTGGAGGGCAGCTTTTCGTCGTTGCGCTCAGTTTCTCACTGGGAGCTTACATAGACGGCAGATGGCAGCCGGCTGTGGCTGCACCTCTGAGGCTGGGAAGGGCCCGGAGGTAACAGAATACTTTGCGAATTCTGTGAAGCGGCCACAGGCCAAAGAAGTTCATATGGAACTCTACAGCAACTCTTGAACCAAACTCCTGTTGAAGCCACCCCAGGGTAGAGAGGAAAGCATCCCTGGAGAGAAGGGTCTGGAGACCCACCCCACGTCCTCCAGATGCAGCTTCCCGCCCATACGCTCTCCTACATAGTCCCCAGACCTTGCTGCTGACTACCAAGTCGGGAAACGATCCTCACCCGAACACTTCAGCCTATTCTTGGGTGCCTCCCTGGGAGAAAGAATGATAAATGCCAGAAAGGCCCTGAGTTTAAGAGCCCAGGTTTAGAAGAGAAGATGCCAATCACCTCATAGAGCTCCTGTGAAGTGTTCTGTTTTCCCAAACTCTAACTGCTCAAATCAACACCGCAGGCTGCAGGCCGAGCTCAGACTAGCTGATGACGCCAGTGGCAGTTTTTGTGAGAAACTGATGGAATTAAAATAGCCTCAGCACCAGGGCAATGCCGCTGTTCATTACCTCCATTACCTGGATGGGCTTCCGGTCCCCTGGCGGGCTGGAGGGGAGGGACCAAACACCAGGGCAAGAGCAGCAACTGCTTGAGAGCAAAGGAGTGAAACTTGCAGCACAGAGTTGGGGCCCATCTATTCTGGTGTCTTGGAAGAAATGCTTCCAGACACCTCTGACTTCCAAGGGCCAGTCTAAGCGCCCACTGTTGCGACACAGCCAGAACTGAAACCACAGTGGGACCTGTCCTGCCTCAAAGTCATTATAGCGCTCAACCGAGAATGTCATCCATCATGACTTGGTTTAGATGACAGTAATTTTGTTTTTTATCCTTATTAGAAAGTAACACAGGTGGGTAAAAAGATTTCAAGAACTGGGACCAGCAGTTGGCGTAGTGGTTAAGGCATGTTGCTGAACTCGCATGTAGTTGACCATGGTTTGAGTCCCGGACCTGGTGGCTTTAACTTATGCTGGGCATGTGTGCATGCCCAAGATCCCGAAAGGAGAAGGGATTGCGGCGTGGCCATCCTCCCTGGGGGGGTGATTTCTCGCTTTCTGTCTCTCTGGCAAGTGCATGCACCCTATAGCAAAACCTCTAAAAAAAAAAAAATTTAAGAATATAAGCATATCAAGAAAAAAGTACTTCTCCTGCCCCCCCCCTTATATGGATTTGCAATAGTATCTCTCCCTACCCTCAGATTTTTGAAATTAAAAAAAAAAGTTTACTGAGGCCATCAGGTGGTATAGTGGTTAAGGCACTGGACTTCCACATGGTTGACAGCAGTTCGAATTCAGGAAATGGCAGCTTGAAACTCATGCCAAGTACATATGTGTATATGCCCAAAATCCAATAGAACGGAGAAGGGATTGCAGTGTGGCCATCCCAGGGGGTGATCTCTTGCTTTCTGTCTCTGTCTCTCCGGCAAGCATATGTGCCCTACAGCAAAAATCTCTCTCTCAAAAAAAAAAAAAAAAAAAAAGAAGTTTATTCCATGAGTCAGAGAGAGACAGAGACAGAGAGACAGCACTTCTAACAGGGTCCTGACTGTGATCCACCCTCAGCCTGGGCCTCAGCCTCCGCCAGTCCAGATCATGGGCACAAGTGCCTGTCAGACTCAAGGAGGCCTCAGGATAGGAACTGTAACCTTCCCACGTGGGTTCACCTGCCAGAGTTTTGTGTTTTACTGCTGAGCCACTGTCTAGCCCCCAGCTTTGTGATCTTGACTGATCCCCCTGAGCTTTCCCCCAGCACACACATAACCATGAACTGCAGTGTGTAACAATGTGGGGAAGGCTGGCTGTCGTGGGGCAGGGGTAGCACGATACCTGGGTTTGGATTCTGGACGATGGGTGACTAGGAAAGGCGGGAGCGTGTGGGAGGAGACTTCAGCACCGTATCCTGTCGAGGGTGCTTGTCATGCTTAATCTCTTTCATTCATGAAAGGAGCACATAAACTTTAAATAATTTTGGGACAAATAAGAGGAAAAAACCCTCTCACTAAGACAGATCTTAATGTTTTTTTTTAATTGGATAATAAAATTTTTGCCTTAAGGCATGTGTGCTCACTGGAGGGAGAAAAGGACAGATAGTGAGAGGGTAAGTAAGAAAACATCCCCCAGGGGGGATGGCCAAGCTATAACCCCTTCTCCATTTTCTTCCAAGGATCTTGGGCATGCACCGCACACGCACCTGCCATGAGTCTCAAGACACCAGGTCTGGAACTCAGACTGCGGTTGGCAACGTGGGAGTCCAGCAATGCAATCGCTACACCATCTGCTGGTCCTTCTAAATCCTTTTTTATAAACACTTTTCCCTTTAAATATTTAAGTATACCATATAATTTACATCCAGCTTATCCTAAATATTTTCCTGTCTTAAAAAGTCTAAATATTGGGCCAGCAGGTGGTGTGGTGGTTAAGGTGTTGGATTCTCACATGTCCAAACATGGTGCAAATCCCAGACTTGGTGTCTTGAAAATCAAGCTGGAAATGTATGCGTGCATGCCCAAAATCCCAGGAGAAGAGTGGAGAAGGGACTGTAGCATGGCCATCCGTCTGAGGGCTGATTTCACACTTTCTTTCTGCCTTTCTCCAATGAGCATATGCACCCTATGGCAAAAACCTAAAAAAAAAAAAAAGTTGAAACATTTTTTTAAGAACTATTTAAATTTGTTACTATTCTTATTATTTAACTTGAACAGAGACAGACAGAGAGCGAGGGGGTGAGGTGAAAGTGAGAAAGCAAGCCACCTGGTCTGGGACTCAAACCTTAGTTGGCCATATGGAAGTCCAATGCCTTAACCACATCACCTGCTGGCCCCACAAGTCAAAACATTCTTCTAGAACTATGTAACACTGCATTCTATTGATAGATGTGGCATCACTTATTTAGGCATTATTCTATTTAATGAAAACTTTTTCCCTGTTTTGGTATTGCAAGCAGACATTTATAATGAATATCTTCAGCCCCAAATCAGCTGAATTATAGCTTAATGACAGATTATCAGAAAAATAACTAAGTCAAAAAAGGTTAACATTTTGGGAGTCTTGTAACAATTTTCTAAGCTACAGGACACTGGGCTACTACTCTGGAGCAGTGATATTTATACCTCTAGCAAAACCAAGTCCTACTGGGAACCTAAATACAAACAAAGGAGTGACACCTGCTTCCGCAGGGAGCGTGGCCCTCTTATTCAGCAGAGTGATTCACGCTGTGGACGCATCTCCTGGGAGTCAGAGGCCATGTTTCAAAATAAGAAGAGGGGCTAGCCACTCGCTCCAGCACAGACACCCTTAGTACAGTGCGATCTGACACCGCCAAGCCCACCACATTGTCATAAGCTGCATCAGCCCAAAGACACTCTTAAGGAAGGGGAGCTCTCTACGTCTCTAAGTTCCCTCGTCTACTCTTCATTGGTAGTTGCTGAGACGAGTCTGGCACTTTACTCTCAAGTCAGCACTACTATTCTCATTCTTTTGAAGGATGAAATGATGCTCAGAGAGGTGAAGTGACTCATCCAAGGGTACAGAGTGCCAGGGCTGGGACTCATGCCCACCTCTACATGGTACCAAGCACCACGCTGGCAGAGAAGAGAGGAGAGTCCCACGTGGAGGCCACTGTTTAGGAGTGCCAGGTCCGCAGGGCTTGGAGTCTGAACAGCACCAGTTTGCATCTGATGCGCACACTCTCCCCCATAAGGCACTAGATGAACCTGCAGTTTAATGACACTGCCACGGCCTGCTCTTCCCACTGGCTGAGGCTCCAAGACTGATGAGGTGAGGGCCAACACGAGATCAGAGGCAGATGCTGGTGCTGAGAAGCAGGA